GTGTGTGTGTGTGTGTGTGTGTGTGTGTGTGTATGTGTGTGTGTGTGTGTGTGTGTGTGTGTGTGTGTACTTGCAGTCGGACGATGTCTTATTGCGCACCACACACCATCGAGGAACAGGACAGCGGGATTGATGACCATCTCCATGGCAATTGCACAGCGCTTTCTCTCACCGCCAGATACTCCTTTGATCATCGCGTTGCCAATGACAACGTCTCGACACTTCTCCAGATGTAGAAGATCGATCACCTGAAACAAGTGCGTGTGAGCCGTGTGCACAGCCTCTGATTAGTGAACACGAATGCTAACGCAAACGCAGCACAACTCAGGAACGGGCCAGCGAACAATAGATCTAAAATTAGTAGACACAAACAGGAAGCAGTATACACATACATATTATTACACATTCCTCCGTAGATAGATGGAGTGCTGTTGTTCTCGTGAAGCATAGAACACACAAACAGAAGGTAATGCACGTTCGTCCGTTGACGCATTGCGTGCTGTTGCATGCGCATACCTCGTCCACAGCGTGTATTTTTCTATCCAGTGGCATGCTACTGGGCAGTCGCAGTTTGGCCGAGAATGTGATGGCCTCCTGTGCAGTGCAGCGCAGGCACGTGGTACAAAGATAAGAAATGAATACATTAATGAATACATTAATGAATACATTAATGAATACATAAATGAATACATTTATGAATACATTGATGACATAAATGAATACATTAATGAATACATTATTGAATACAATAATGAATACATTAATGAATACATTAATGAATACATTAATGAATACATTAATGAATAAATTAATGAATACGACAATGAATACATAAATGAATACAATAATGAATATATACATGAATACATGAATGAATACATAAATGAATACATTAATGACATAAATAAATACATTGGGCGATGACCCCGTCGTACATCTACGGTACACAACTACACTTGACTCTGCGCACCCATTGCACATGCACTATAAAGGCATGTATTGTGTGTATGTCAATCCTCTAGACACAGATATACAACAATGCCTCAGTGTGCATGTCGATTGCACATGCAAGGTAATATATCGTGAGCATCAACTACATGTACGAAAACACGCAGTACAACGCCATTGTGTGCTTGAAGTGTATATGCACAGGTATACCGTTAAGTGGTTTTTACCTAAAATCCAAAACCCTGCACAAATGACACTGTAAAGTGTCACTTGTGCGGTACAGACAGGCGAATAGGAATACATGAATACATTTGTGTATATGAATATATTTGTGTGTCCATTGCACGTGACACACACACAGATGCGACATCGAACTGTTCGCATTCCATTCGTTGGTACACAGCCCAACGGCGTCAAGGTATAACATATACACAACGCACACCCTGCAGGTACAACATTTACACAACGCACACCCTGCAGGTACAACATTTACACAACGCACACCCTGCGATGCTTTGTCGACTCTTGTGAGGTGTTCACTCTAATCATTGAATGTTTTCAGCACATCAGCGCTAACCCATACTCGTGCATGTGGTCCAGAGATAAACACTCGTGACAACGAGTATAGTCTCGATACGAATCATGTAAAGTATATATATACCACCAAAATAAATGCAGAGTGGAAGGTTCACTTGCGAGACATACCGTAACGGTCATAGTGGCCATGATCACATCATCCTGGTACACAAAAGCACTGATTTTCTTCATTTTTTTGGCATTGACTTCTTGACCGTTGACCAGAATGTCTCCTGACACTCCCCTGTACACCTGTGCAAAGATGCCAAGTCAAATACAATACCTGTCAGTGGTTGCCAATAGCACGGACAGCCCGATGGTGCCTGCGCAATAACACACAATTAACATGCGCAGTAGGTGGAACGTATGGCACGATGGAAGCGACTCACAATCCTTGGACGCAAACAAACGAAAGGTGGGTGGACCTCTGTATGCATTGGTGCATGGAATGTTCTACACTTATGTACCGAACATCGAGCAACTCCGCGCGATGCAGCACTCTGCAATGTATAGTGGAGCATCACCTATTCACCACTGTGCATTCACAGCACACAACACTTGCTAGAGCATCTGCACCCTCGCACATTCTAGACCCATGATGGGCTATTCACGCACCAACTAACCTGAACGTAACAGTAATCCACCAATGCCCATCGCAAACCCCAGATCTCTTACCTCACCACCCAGGACATTGAGTAGAGACGTCTTTCCGGCTCTGTGATGAAGTGTGGACACACACAAGGCATGACACGTGAGTCATCAGAGATTCAGTGATCAGTGGTGTCTGATTGAAAGGCTAGAGGCTATCCTATGGAAGGAAGCTAATCACATGATGGAACAGAAGGAAGCTCATCACATGATGAACCCCCAACGCCGGTGGGGAAACGCATGTGAACTATCAGTGACAACTGCGTACGACTACTGTGACAGGGTGGTTAAACCCCAACGAACCCAGCGAAGTGGGATGCGATGCCATCAGTGACAACAGCGTACGCCTATTGTAACAGGGTAATGCATCGCTTGGCGGATACTTTAACTTACCTCGAACTTTTCAACACATATGACACCAATATACTCTAATACAGATCAAAGCTAAATACCTAAAGCACATATGATACCCATATACCTTAATGCATATAAACTCTAAAACCCTAAAACACATATGATACCAATATACCCTAATGCAGACACCACAATGTACAGCAAGTACACATAACCCAACCACAATGTACAGCAAGTGCACATAACCCAACCACAATGTACAGCAAGTGCACATAACCCAACCACAATGTACAGCAAGTGCACATAACCCAACCACTAA